GTTATTCTATTGATACTTCTTCCTGGACTTGGTAATCCATGGACTTCTGCATAATTTTCCAGAAAATTCTTTACTACCTCAGCAATGCTTTTGTCAATCACCATCTTAGTTTTCCATTGAGGCATCCTTTTAATATTGCCATGAACTCTTGCTAGAAGACCATTGTTTATCAGATGATTTCTAATATTTTCAAAATAAGTTCTACCAATCCCTAACATATTAAAATAAGTTTCTTGACAAAGGAGTGTATTGTGATCCCAGTGATAGAAAGTTCTTTTGTTAGATCTATTTTTCTTTTAAGGCGTCTACTAGTACTTGTTGATCCACCATCCATTGCTTTAATCTGTGCCATTAAAAATATGTCTTGCTCAGATTTGGAAAGAGCTTGAAAGGATTCCCTTAATACTGCAAATTCTTCCTTGGGAATTCTGGAAAAGCAACCACATTTACATCCTTTTTCTAAAAAATCAATTGCTTTTTCATATTCATTAGAACCATTATATTTATCATTTTCATTATTGCTTTTCATATACACTTATCCCTATATATATAATTTTATCAGCATAGACTTGAAATTATGCTAGATATGAATAATAACAACATAACAACCTATTGACTTTTTAGTTGGTAATCTAATGACTACAAATAATAAATACAGTAATATTTATATACTTGTAGAGAATGCAATGATAAGATGATAATGACACATTCACCACTAAGCAACAAATGAAATTTCAGGGGGGGGGGTAAAAGTTGTTAGGCACCAAAATAATTACTTTTTATTTCTTTTATTACTAAATGAATAAACTGACATGTATTTTTTATAATTCAAAACAAGAGAAGTATCAGTAATCACTACAGAATTTATTTATTAAGAGATGTGCAAAAAAAACAGATAAAAACTATATACCATCAATAATATAAAATATGAAAGAGCATAATTCATAAATTAAACATCACTTATTCTGAAAATGTTAAAAATTGTTTAGATAATTCTCTAGCACTCATTAATGCATCAATAGCCTTTGGTCTCTCTTGCGGATTTGATTTCATTAATGTTTCACCAAAGTTTCTAATTTCAATTGGTAACCTGAGTGAATAGTCAATAATGAGAAATCCAACACTCCAGATATCTGTTGATATATCATGGTATCCTTCCCTAATTTCTGGTGCATGAGTATTTTTTTCTAACTCTTCTTCCTTATTATATTGGGGTGAGTAACAGGCAAACTCAAAATCAATGAGAAACCATTTGTCATTATCACGGTATTTTACAATGTTTTGCCAACGTATATCACGATGCATTATTGGAATATTATGCATCACCTATGGATTAAGAAGGTAATAAGTATATATTTTGGTTTAAAATTTTCAAAAATATCTAATAAATTTACCAATAGTGCTTCTAGAACACAACATACTGCAGATAACATTTCCTTTAAATCTTTTGGATATGTTGCATCACCTTGTGGTTGAAAATAGCATGCATCATTTGAGCTTCTGTAGATCTTTTCAATATTAGGCACATTATTAAGTACTTTATATATTTCATTCAAATGTTTAATAATTTTTTTCCTTTTGTATATCTTTCTTACTGCTAAGCCAAGGAAGGTAATAGTTGTTCTATTTCTTGATATTATCCCATACTCTGGATTGTTTTTTCTTTTGCAGAGCAAAGCAAGAGAAGGCAGAATTCTAGAAACATTTCTACAAATGTTCCACACAATTATTCTATTCTTCAAAAAAAATAAATCATATGGTCCACTGATATCAAGTGTATAAATTTCCCTATTTTCCATGTATATTGCACAAAAAGTAACATTACTTTCAATTGAATAATATGCTAACAAATATGGTACAGCATCACCATAATCCCAAATTATTTTTTCAATTAGCTCTTGTGATGGATCTCCTCCACTATCAGCTCCTTTTTCTTCTCCCCGCCAAACAGCATTATTGGATATACATCCAGCAGTATCAGGTCGTTTTTGTCCTGTGCTTGTATTATAACATGTATTTCGACTCATAGTTATGCCATCAGTGAGAGTTTGAATTGTGTACTTAATACAAATATCAAGACCTCCATGGTAGTAATCTTCTGCATTACCTTTTACAAATGACAGTTGCTCTATATTGTGATCAATCCACTTGGACACAGTGGCATTATAAACATATGAATCCAATGCTTCTAAACCAGCTGGAACAAAATATTGATCTAATAGAGCCTTTTCTGTCATTCGTGACAAATCTTTGGAAATAATAATGTCTTCATAAAAATTGCATGGAATTTGTAATTTAGTTATTGGCAATTCAAGTATAAATTGAGGAAGCTGATGGAGGGTAGGTAATGTTTGAATCACAGGCTGTAACATTAGGTGACAAGAATTAATATATGTTGAAGATGCTATAAATAACACAATGTGTATATGATTTAGTTATCAAATATTGTAATATTGAAATTCATATAAAGGATTATGAGTAGAATGATGCTATAACTTACAATGCACATCTAAAGCATAGAGACAATAAGTTTTGGATAAATAGCAACAAGAAAAAAGTATAAATTAGTTATTGTAAACAGTCTATCAATGCTCACACAAATGAATAAATAAATAAACGAAATGAAACGAATGGAAAATAATTTTTTGTATATTTTTTACATAATTTGTTCATTACCTTTTTCTTCATTCATCTTCAACCACGCATCTCCCCATTTCTTTGTCTCCTCCTCCAATCTCTTTTTTTCTTCCTCCAGCCTCTTCTTCTCCTGCTTCTCCTCTTCATTAAGCTCAATTCTTCTCGCCTTCCCCCTCAATTCTTCCAACCACTTCCCGTCATTCTCTCCTTCTTTCCACTGCTTCAACTCTGCTTCTGCATTCACCAATCTCTCTTCTGCCTTTTCTTTATCTGATTTAAAATCGTTGTAAATTGTCATTTTTTAAAATTAAAAAAAATTTAAAATTAACTTTTTTTTTTTTTTTTTTGTTTCTATAAATAATTTGGACCAATGATAAGTTAGTGGGCACATGACTTGGAATTTATTTTTACGTACAATGATTTAACGACAAAAGAAAATTATTTTAATTTTAATTCAACTAATAATAGAAAAATACATAAGTAATTTATAAAAATATAAGTTA